GTTTTGATGTAATTTCAAAAAAAGTGATGGTCTTTGTTACTCCAGCTCTTGGGGTTTCTTTGACCGGGTGGTAAAATCAATTTTATTTTTTGGTAAAATAACTCCAAATAACTCCAGGTTGTGGTGCATTGTAGTAGAACTCTTCTAGTTACATATGCAAAAGACAAATTTTAGGAAAGTGTCATAGTTTGCAAATGGGGGGCGCCGCCCCCCAATGGGCGAAATGTGACCACCTAATGACAGCCGTGACGGGGTAACATGTTTGGTTTGGAAATTGAGTTAAAATTACCATATATAAGACTCTGTAGAGTCTGAAACATAAAGAAAAAAACATTAATAGGTGTACCGGTATCAAACATAAAATATGTTACATATATAGGTACCTATGGTAATTTTAACTTAATTTACAAGCCGGTCAATGTTACCCCATCACGGCTGCCATCAGGTGGTCAAAGTTCCCCCATTGGGGGGCGGCGCCCCCCATTTGCAAAATATGGCACTTTTCTAAAATTAGTCTTTTGCATATGTAACTAGAAGAGTTCTACTACAATGCATAAAAATCTGGAGTTATTTTACCAAAAAAATGAAAAAATTGGAGGGGGTACTCCAACAGGCTTTAAATAATAGCTCTTTTTTGTGGGTCACATTATCAATTTTTTAACCTATTAGATATGCAAACTTTTTTATTCTTTCTATTGTGTTACGTAGCCTCAGTATTAGGCCTTTGATGGCCATTGACAAAATTTTTCTATGTCAAATTGTTTTTGAGTTTTGGGAGTTTTTGTTAAAAAAACGAAAAGTGGTCAAAGTTACCCCGCAGGTCAAAGTAACCCCATTTTACGGTATCTCATGATACAATACAAATACAATTTTCCTAATGCATGAACTTTCTGAGTACTAAGGTAAGGGTTCTTTTCTTAAATGACAAAATGGCCCCAAGTCACCCATCAATGGTCCAAGTTGCCCCATTTTATAGTAATTAGTCATTTGAGCATTCAGCTACACAAAAAAGGCCTCCCATGTTCCAAGATTGTAATTTTGAAATTTATTACTGATATCTCATGGCTCCTAAGCTAAATCTTTAATAAATATGGCATCTTGTGACTTGTGGTTTGATCCTGCATTTTTGTTAACAATTAGATTAGAGGCATTTCATACAGTGGCTCCAAAAATGGTGCAGAAATTCTAGTCAGTAGTCACTGCCTGCATGGTAGATATATTCCAGGCCTGCTGTATGAAGATGCAATTAGCCAGACCAGGATTTCAACATCTTCTTATTGTAGTTTGTATATGTGTGGTTTTTGCTCATATCTACATTGATCATACTCGTACCTATGTCTGTAAATGGTCTTTCTGTTGAGTTGTGCACAATTTTAGTTTGCTTTTCAAAGTTTGAGTATTAAATTATTAATTCTTTTTTCTCGGTGAACTTTCCAGTTTCCACTATATATACCTATTTAAATTTTTTAACTCCTTCAACCTGAGTATTTGTAATGAATTTTCTCTCTGAAATTAATACTTTTTTCCATGATTGTAATGATTTTTTATGTATACCTATGGAAAAATGCCAATGATTAACTTACCATGAGTTCTGAGAATCCAACTCCAATTTTGAAAAGGAATCTTCAACCGACTAAAAGGCACTCGGTGACTTTTTCTCAAGTAAGTTTATTGTTACTTTGTATGAAGTCAGTAAATAATTTTGCCAAATAAATTTTAAACTTAATCTTTACCATCAAAGACATATGTACTGCACTTGCAGCTGGTCAATGAAATTATTCATGTAATACTGATCAAAATTAAAAGTCATGGTGATTTAGTGTGGTTAATAAAATAAAATAGATAATTTCTATCGAAGGATAGCAACATGAATATTTACTTTAGCAACTTAGGTGGTAGGTATTGATGTTAGAGGTTTATCAAAAATCCATAATTAAATTGAAATTAGTATGGTAGCATAACTGTCATGTGTTATTGACTCTGTCATCAAAACACTAGTTATTGTCATCAGGATTGTGGAATTGTGGATAGATAATATCTTAACAGGTACATAGGTATATATCTTATAGTTTAGAAATTTCCTGGCAACTTTTTTTTAACACTAGGCAATATTTTGATATCAATCAAGGTACTCTGCTGGATAAATGTTGAATGTCTATGCATGTGAACCACTACTGTATATATTGCTAAAATTTTACAATTCTCCCTGCCCATCAGTGTCATTGTTTTCAAGTTGATAATTTTGAAATAAGCCTTGAATAGTATAACTTATACCATCAAGTGGGGTGATTTTGGCTACCAGGGGTAACATTGGCAATCACTACAACAGAAATAAATGGCAGCAAAACAAAATAATAAATGTTGGCCAAAGTCACCCCGGTGGCCAGAGTTGCCCCCAGTCACTTTGGCCAATGTTTATCATTTTGTTTTGCTGCCATTTGTTTCTGTTTTAGTGTTGGCCAAAATCACCCCGCTTGACGGTTTCTAAAAATATTTAATTTTATGCCCTGCAAGTTATCTCTGGAATTCAGGGTGGCATTATCTCAAAAAGGTTCTATCTAGACTTCATGGTTTAGCTGGTAATAAATATGCCTGGTTTGATGCCTGCAGCATAGGCAGGGTTTTATTTCATCTTGAAAAACAACATTTTTGGTGTTCACACACTCACTAATTAACTCTTTTGTGGGCAAGCCTTGGAATTTGCATGAACTTGAATTTCTCAATCCATTACATGAAAGTTTGAATCATTCTAAGATATATTTTATCACATGGATATTCCCAAATTCTGCCGAGAGTAAATTGCAGTTGAAAAATGAATGTATTAAATATGGTCACTATGCTAAAAAATTGATGTAATTTAAAGTCAAAGGGTAGCAATCTGACTTCAATTTACTACTGTTTAATCAAATTACTTTGATTGAATAGATACTGCTTATTCAAACTTTTTTAAAAATGTGAAAATAGCTTCAATTTTGCTTACAGGGTCATAACTTACATTTAAATGCTCACATTTAATTCTTGGGCATGGGAGAGGATGCTATGTATGGAATGATGGTCAAATGATTGGTGATTGGAAGAGGCATGATAGTTTGCAGCAAACACAAACTGTAGTCTGTTGTGTTTTAAGAGAATATTTTAGGTGACAACACATAGTATCTTGCCCACTAAAGGGTTAAATAAGATAAATAGTACAAGATCCTGTAATTTGTTGATGTTAAATGGACATATCACAATGATGTGAAAAAAGTACTATGCAAGCAGATATATACTATACTGGGTTACAAAATATCAAGTTATAGTCCTTTTTCTACTCTTTTGCATTTCTGGTCAATTGAACATGGCATAGTATTTGCAAAATGAACTTCTTAAAGTGTGAAATAACTGTTTTTAACATGTTTTTCTTAGCTTAGCTTCGCGTTTGTTTGTTTGTTTGTTGTTAACATTGACAACGAAAATTAGCCCACTTCTGATTGCGCTAGAGATCTGAAATTCGGCATGCAGGCTATTTTCGCCTAACAATTTCAGATACAATCATAAAAACTAGTAATTAGAGACCTAAATAAGCTTAATTGAGTAAAGTATATATAGTATATATATAGTATTACGTGCAGGCGCTCACGTTACAGACGAGCAGGCGCTGACGCTGCGTATCATCGATACGTACGTCAAGTCATACTTAATCAAATCTTAATCATTTTTCTTGTGGACTAAAAAGTAGAAAATAAAATGCTTAAAAAAACTTTTTAAAAAAACACATTTTTCTTGTGGACTAAAAAGTAGAAAATAAATTATGGCTCGCCCCAAAAAAACGTGGTTTTCTACTCTTTTGCATTTCTGGTCAATTGTACATGGCATAGTATTTGCAAAATGAACTTCTTATGGGTGAAGTATATAACTGTTTTATATTAGACCAATTACCCATGTAGTTATTCAGTATATTTAACATCTTTGTTAATTTCTGTTGTAACTGAATTGGCATTATACATATACCCATTGTGATGAAGTATACCATAAGTTTTTTTTTTAATTTTGTCACATAATTGAATTAACAAGCAATCCTAGTTTGAAACTTTTTTGAGCATCTGAAAATGTGATGGGCTCATCCTTTTGTACAACTTTTAACTTGTATGTCCATTTCTTGCAAAATCATTGGGAGAAAAATGAAAAGTTATTTCTTTTGGAGAACAAAACTTTCTAGTTTTCTCAAACCTTCTATATCAAAGAAAAGTTGTAATTTGGTGAAATTTTTATAACGATTTTCTGCATTATCACACAGTTGCCTGATACTTCTCCACCATCTGAGGACCCTGTACCTCAGCCATCCTCGTCTAACTCAGACTTGGTCACTGGAATAAGATTGACTGACTATGGGCTTCATTATGAACCACCTGCTCCAAGCCTCCCAAATCTATCCAAACTCCATCCAGGGATCAATCTTGTCTCCATGAGAGAGTGTGAAAGAGCTGAGCTTGGCAGTGAAGAAGCTGATGATCACATTCTGGTATTTTGGACCTTATTATTTGCTATTAGACTCTTATATTTAAATGATCATTGTCTTTAATTGCAGTATTTCTGTTCACTTAGCTGTCTTGAACCTTATCTATCAACAAACTTTCTTATATGAAACAAGGGTATTACTGTACAACCTGAAGTATGAAATTCTCTATTTATTGACAGAAGGAAGTGTTTGTGCTGTTATCATAGTAATAATCAATTTGATGTTTATGTAATGTACTGCCAACTATTTTTAGATGCTGGGAGATGCCACACTTGGCCAGCACTTGAAAAAAGAGCTTGAAGCTTTGCCTCACAACAACATAAGAGTGTAAGTTTGTTTGTTGGAAGATGATTTTGTAAACGCTTCTTTGCATGTTATATAAAAAAAGCAGGAAATGGATGTATGATTACACGTGTTACATCTCAATGAGACAGCATGTTTTTGACCATTAAACTTTTTACAGGACGCAGTCAACCCAACCAACTGAGGAGCTTGTTCAGACATGCTCATTCTTTCTGGTGCTTCTACCTTTGGATCAAGTAAACAGGTGATTAAAACTATTTAATAGTCAGATATGTAATATAAGCAGTATAAGAATAAGATATAATTAAAGTGTTCAGTCCTAAATTTTTGTTCTTAAGGATGAAAGTACAAAAATATATACTATGGACACATATTTCTTCCACAATCAGATGTTGGCATCAGTAAGACAAAAGTTGCTTAAAAACCTAATACCATTTTGATCATCAAGAATTCATATCAGTTGGCTATCTGAATTCTAAATTTAATTAATTCTCTTAAGCCAATGAAATGAGCACTCATAAAACTGTTTAATTATTCAGATTCATGTTAGATTTATGCTCACTGCAATTTAATTAGTAAAAGTGATTTATTCTATTATATTGTATTTCTTTGTAGATATCAAAAAATTTACCTGACCAAACTATTTATGCTGCATCATAGTAATGGTCATTTTGAATTTATTTCAGTTGTGACTGAGTAAAAGAAACATTGAACAAGTAGTTCTCATTCGAAATTTATTTCAGTTGTGACCAAGTGAAAGACATCGAACCAGTAATTCTCATTATACATGAATTTCAGTTGTGACCAAGTAAAAGACATCAATTCAGTAATTCTTATTAAAAATTTATTTCAGTTCTGACCAATTAAAAGACATTGAACCAATAATTTTCATTATACATTTATTTCAGTTGTGATCAAGTAAAAGAGACATTGAACCAGTAATTCTCATTATACATTTATTTCAGTTGTGACCAAGTAAAAGAGACGTTGAACCAGTAATTCTCATTACAAATTTATTTCAGTTGTGACCAAGTAAAAGGGACATTGAACCAGCTTGGGACCCTGAGATCTGACTACCTGCTGCGCAGTGCAGTGGTGGCCATAACCAGCGCACACGGATCAGACCAATTTGTTGCGGATCTCTTCAACTTACACACACTACTGCTGCAGCAGAAAATAGCTTATTACGTCTGGTCTAATGTTGTGAGTGAGCCGCATACTTGCACTGATGGGAACTTATTTGTAAAGGCCACTGATTTTAATATAATTTCATGTAAATTTTAGTAAAAGTATATGAATGGGTTCAAAAAGTAGAGTGTGCTGATCAAATAATTGAGCTAAATTAATCTCCAAGTGAATTTGGCCGAGGACGGAGGGTGGCTTCAATTAGGCAGAGGAAATTTTGAAATGGCTGATTTTTTATTTGATTTTTGACATTTGAATTTTTCATGGCTGAGCAACACCTTGTTAATTTTATATGGTAATTTTTCATTGAGATGTTTATTTATAACTTTTACCGTGAACCGAGTGAACATTGTATTTTTGCTAAATGTTAGATAAGAAAAAATTACGAAATTTTTGGTAACGGTTGGTAGTTGAAATTAGCACACATATCATTCTTCTGCTTAAATTGCAAGTTCGCCAAGAATTTGAAAGCAAAGAAATAGCAAGTATATTCACAATATCTCAATTTCAAACATTCCAGAGACCAGCTCATTAATCTCTTTTGTGTGTATTCTGATTTTCTCTTGTGATTGTACTTGTATTCTATACGTTTTCTGAACTAATGATAGAGCTGGTCTCTGAAACGTTTCCACTGAATGTACACTAAGTTCACTCGCAGTTTTCTTAGCTGTTAAATTCTTGTTGAAAATAGCAAGCTCGCATCAATCTGAGATAAACGTAGGTTTAAGATGCCGACACAATGTCTTTGAAATTGTTATTTTTAAAATAACTGTAAATTTCTTTGGAATTTTAACAAATTTAATTGTTTTGTTTGAAGATAATTACAAAATTTTTGGAATTCCAGCAAATTTAATTATTTTCTTTGAAGATAATTACAAAATTTTGGGAATTCTAGCAAATTTAATAATATTCTTTGAAGATAATTACAAAATTTTTAACCAGGTTCCTGCAGGCTGGCCAAGCATCATCGACAGGCTCGCCGTGGAGATCAGGTCTTGCCGCCACGAATTCGAGTCTCGCTCCAAAAATGGAGGCGAAAGCAGGGATAGAGTGGCGTCCCGAGCGCTGTTGAGTTCTCTGCTGTGGCACCGAGACCCAGGAAACTCTTTCCTTAACGAATATCTCGACGTGACTGTACTGAGAAGCCGTCAGCATCTCGAATTTTGATGGCTTTGGATCTTAAAGTAAGATAAAACCTTGTTTTTAAAATTGCATAGTTTTATGGTCGGTGATAGGTTGAGGTTTTTTTCATTTCATCACAATTTGCACAAAACTAGTCAAATTTCATGACCACTTACTCCACTTACGCTTTAGACCAGCGTGTTTACTCCCTCTTCTAGAAATTATGTTAATATGATCAACAGTAACGTGTAGAACGCCTCACCAATTTCAGTACTACGCGCAGTCCACTGTTACTTTGAGTTCATTATTTCATTCTGAAAATTAAAAAATCTGGGTGTAACAACGGACAATAATTGGGGCTATTACGAGCGTTTTCTCACTAGATCCTCTGTTGAGTTTTAATTTAATTTTGTTCTGTTCAATGTAACGGTAACTTCATAAAAGCATCAAGATGCTAGCTAGCATCTAAAATAATCAGTACTAAAGACGTATTATACAAATAATACGAATACGGATAAATACGTATTCGTATTATTTTCTTACAATACATAAAACTTACAATTCAATCTATTATTTTAAGATATTCTAAAATTCTTTCTTCTAGCATGCAATCTTAGCGTCGCAACAGCTTCTGCTGTTAAAGAGGGACAAAATGAAATATCGCCAAGATACGGTTATAACCACAATTTATTGACTAGTTGGAATATAGATTTATTTAGGTACTACTTTAAGCTATTAACAATGCATAGGCTCTTTTCCTCGCTTTTCTGACTGCGCAAATGCATATTATTATTAATAAGGTCACATAAAAAATGTCAAATCCCCAGCGTTTTTGAGCGAGTGAAATAAATGTTGTTTGTCGCGTCTAGGCAGGCGAGCTGAGGGGACGGCCGGGAGAGAGGAGGGAGGTCAGAAGATCCGAGACTGGAGACTAGTGAGAATCGCGCCACAGTGAGAAGACGGGAAGGGACAGGTGGAAGAGGCGCTCAATTGAGTGGAAGAATTTTCCACACTCGGAGCACATCGTGTGTAGGGGCTCGCATCATATAAGTGGAGGATATAAGCTGGCCGTACAGCGGTTGTGGCGAGTGGATATGAACCAATCGGAGGTTGCGGGGCATGACAACCTAAACGGAAGCTACAAAATGGGCAATTCTTCTCTCGGTGGGATTGGGAGGAAATCACTAGTTATAAATTGCAGCAGGTTACGCATGTTAACGCTCGCGAGACAACGAATAATATGTATGAGATAATCCGTATTTAATATGATAATTAACTGGAAAGGTAACGATCACATGATATTAGCAAAGCTATTTCGACGGCTGATCGGGTGATAATTGTTGTTGTTGCTGGCAGCGTGAGCGATATACTAGGACAGGACCTTTACAGCTGCACTCGTGAATTTGTAGAAACGAGAACCGAATAGAAAATAATGACAAGGCTGTAAAATTACATTCATGCTCGGCAATCAACACGCCTTCTCAGGTTTAAATTCTTTCCGTAGTTATTAAGCCCGCGGCGTTTTAAGTCTTTTGAAGCGCCATTCCGCCTCTTTCGTCGAAAAAAAGATGTATGGTAAGACAGAGAGATATGACTGTGAACTCTAACGATGTTGCTAAATATATAAATTAATTGCATTTAACCTATCTGTCGCAGATAGGGGAGAATAATGTTTTTACTACGAGCAACCATGAGCATGCAGTTGACATTTGCTTTACATAAGCAAATGTCACATGCACAAGTGGATTAAATCACTGTTTGCTATACTAACTGCTAGTTTACAATCGATGAAACAACATATGAATTGGTAATTTACCATAAAATTACTTTAACACGATAAAACTCTACCAATTCCTAATGTAAATGAAGTATTTACTATAATAATATAATGATCTTTTTTATAAACATTCCATTTCATGATATTTTATAATTTTGTCTTATGTTATATTTTTGATAACACGTACCTTATTTTCCGATACGAATCTAATTCATCCTTTCATGAGACTATACATTATACATTTATGGCACAAACTGTTGTGGTAGTTAGGTCTCCCCCTTGAAGACTGTTTGTATGCTCAGCTCCATTTCCAGTTTATATGGTTTTATGCTACAAATAAAAAAATTGAATTAAAAAAATCTTGTCGCTTAGGATGTATCGAACGGCTCGTGGCTATCCCGCACAAGCCACACACTGTCCGTCAGCACGCCAGCCTGCAAAAAGTGTTTACTGTTAGAGTCTGTACACAAACATGCTTGTCATAATGTGTAAGCACGCGGATCACAAGAACGTTAACCTAGGAGTTTCTCCGGCGCATCCTATCTTGGTCCACTGCAACAACACTAAAATATATGCATTCACTTCTAAGTTATACGCAGTCTTCCACCATCGGACTATTTTCAAGCACTACGAAGTATTTACATTCTATTTTACAGTTTTTTCGCATACTTGTCACACTCAAAATCGATTATTTGTTCCATAGCCGCCTTCCGAACGAAGCTAAAACCAATCGTCATTTGCAGAAATGCCACAAGTTGCACGCCTCAACAGAGGACTAGCAGGACTCAACCTCACTGGGGGGTCTCTTATATAAATGAGACCGGAGAACCACAAGAAAAACAACTAGCAGGACCAGTGGCCTCTCACCTGGTCGTCGGAGACCTGTTCCCAGTAGAGATGTGTGTGGTTGTGCACCGTCAGCCTCGTGTAGCCGTAATCTTTCACACGCACCGCAGACCACGCGGGTTGTTCCAACTGGAAGCCGTCCAAATCTTCCTTGCAGCCTGCCGACCCCGTCGTCACGTGGACAGGACCTCTGTTCTCACACAAAGCCGTTGTTTTAATTTATAGCAATCTTAGTTTAATGTTTATTAGGTGCAAGATCTTTCAAAATATCACAATGTGACTGTAACGCCANCTGTCTCTTATACACATCTAGATGTGTATAAGAGACAGGTTTCGGAGGTAGTTAGGGAAACACGAAGTTTCGGAGGTAGTTAGGGAAACACGAAGTTTTGGAGGTAGTTAGGGAAACACGAAGTTTCGGAGGTACTTAGGGAACATCAAAAAGTCTGGGAATGAGGAAAGAAAGCTAACCAGTCTGTGAAGCTGGAAAACCAGAATAATAGCATTTAATGCACTTATTAGATACTTTCTTAAGCAAATAGATCCTACGTAAAATTCCGCATGTAGCCATTGAAAGCAATAAGCAGCTAGGAGATAGAAATGAGGGCACAAAAAATAATGAAGGAATGAGGGAATAAGTTAGAATGAGGGAAGAAATAATAAAGGAATGAGAGAATAAGAAGGAATGAGGGAAGAAAGCTCACCAGTTAGTGAAAGGCAGTCCCACTCGAGTGCGGCAGTTGACATGAGTGCAGTCGTCCTTGTCGTTGGTGCTGCAGTACATGGGGCGGTGGCCGTACAGGATGATCCATGGCCGTTCTGCACGCGCTTCCGCAGTGTTAGCAGCCTGGATTATGTGGTACAAAAACACTTCAATAAATAACGTACGAAATTCGCACAATCATGCGTGTAACGAATTACACTGATGAAAATCACCAACAATGTTTCATATTTTCAAGCAATACATATACCAACCAATACACGATACACATATTGTTAAATTACATCTTGGAAAACTCGCTCGTATAAAATAACATTGACAAATATCCCATGCTTCCAATGGGGATACGAAGCGTCAATCATAACTTTAGAAAATATGATAATAAAGAGGCATAATAATGATAAATCTAACCTCGAGGTCTTGGATAAGCCACGTGTACTGACGGCTGATCTCCCTGAGCAGACCGTAGTAGTAGACCTCTGTGCTGATGGACACGAAGTGTACGGGTCCCATATCGAAGCTGTAGAAGATACTTTCAGTGTCTTCGTAGTTGGGCATGCTGAACCTGTTTCTGTACTGGCTGAAGTTGCTGTGAAGAACATTAAGCTTGTCAAGACAAAAAAAACGGCAAAATAACTGCATTATCACTCGCTATAATACATATAGCATGGCAGAATTTGTTCTTTCAAGAAATTTTGTTAAAAGATCAGAGAATGAGTCTCATTAATTACATTCTCGAACGCTTTGATAATTAAATCTACGAAAATAAAAAAAAAGATTGTTCAACATGTCGAAAAAAGGAACAGAGATGACAGACAAGACTGGACGGAACCTGTAACTATGAGCTCACTATGCGCTCTCGTGGTTGCCTGGGCACGTCATGTAGGGCAGGTAGGCAGCCACGGGCTCGATCTGCTCCATGAAAGCATCGCCCATTGAGCCGTTATCCTGCAAATAAATAACTAATACAGTGCCACTCCTTGATATTTTAGCGGGTTGCCCGCTCTCGAAATTTTGAAAGGAAACTGAGATAATACGTGTTGATACTTCAAAATGGAACCAAGTTGTTTCATTTATTTGATTACACTCACGGATATCATGTCATAAGCCATGTCTCCGACGTGCAGCACAGCATCGTACATGCCCTGGTGCGCTTCCTGCTGCAGTCTCCATGCAAAAAAAAAAAACAATAAACTATCAGTTATATACCTATAATTAAGAGATTTGTTACAGCCAAAACCTTTTATACGATGTTTTCAAACAATAAAAAAGGGAATAAAATATAATCAATGAAATAAAATCAATGAATTTACATCAGAAATTAGTAAACAGAGAACTGGTGAGCGAGTGGGCACGTCACCTGGTAGAGTGAGCGGGCACGTCACCTGGTAGAGTGGGCACGTCACCTGGTAGAGTGGGCACGTCACCTGGTAGAGTGGGTTCAGACTCACGGATATCGTGTCATTGTCAGACTCACGGATATCATGTCATTGTCAGACTCACGGATATCATGTCATTGTCAGACTCACGGATATCATGTCATAAGCCATGTCGCCCACGTGCAGCACAGCATCGTACATGCCCTGGTGCGCTTCCTGCTGCAGTCTACATGAAAAAAAAAAAACAATTAACTATCAATTATATATTAAGAGATTTATTACATACAAAACATTTTGTAATATGTTTTTAAACAATTAAAAAGTGAATGAACACTAAGAACAAATATCGATTTTGAGTGAGTGGGCACGTCACCTGGTAGAGTGGGCACGTCACCTGGTGAGTGAGTGGGCACGTCACCTGGTAGAGTGGGCACATCACCTGGTAGAGCGAGCACGTCATCTGGTGAGTGAGTGGGCACGTCACCATATGAGTGAGTGGGCACGTCACCTGGTAGAGTGGGCACGTCACCTGGTAGAGTGGGCACGTCACCTGGTAGAGTGGGCACGTCACCTGGTAGAGTGGGCACGTCACCTGGTAGAGTGGGCACATCACCTGGTAGAGTGGGCACATCACCTGGTAGAGTGGGCACATCACCTGGTAGAGTGGGCACGTCACCTGGTAGAGTGGGCACATCACCTGGTAGAGTGGGCACATCACCTGGTAGAGTGGGCACGTCATCTGGTGAGTGAGTGGGCACGTCACCATATGAGTGAGTGGGCACGTCACCTGGTAGAGTGGGCACGTCATCTGGTGAGTGAGTGGGCACGTCACCTGGTAGAGTGGGCACATCACCTGGTAGAGCGAGCACGTCATCTGGTGAGTGAGTGGGCACGTCACCTAGTAGAGTGGGCACATCACCTGGTAGAGCGAGCACGTCATCTGGTGAGTGAGTGGGCACGTCACCTTAGCTAAGCGCAGAGGCCAGCCACGCGTGCCCGCAGGGACGGTCTTGAAGCCGAACACCGCAGACCAGCCCTGGCTGCTGCCTGCGTGGTAGTCTGTAAGATCATGAGTAATTATTTCTCTTGCATAGAAAATAGAAACTTTATACATTACGTATACAGAGATTACGTATGATGAGTAATTATTTCTCTTGGACAGAAAATTGAAAATTTATACGTACCTACCTATTATGTATACAGAGATTACGTATTACGCTGCCTGCGTGGTAGTCTGCAAGATGATGAGTAATTATTTCTCTTGGATAGAAAATAGAAACTTTATACATACCTACCTATTATGTATACAGAGATTACGTATTACGCTGCCTGCGTGGTAGTCTGCAAGATGATGAGTAATTATTTCTCTTGTATAGAAATAGAAACTTTATATATTACGTATACAGAGACCATGAAGTAGTCTGTAAGATGATGAGTAGGTAGTCATTTCTCTTGTATAGAAAATAGAAATTTTATATATTACGTATACAGAGACCATGAAGTAGTCTGTAAGATGATGAGTAATTATTTCTCTTGGATAGAAAATTGAAACTTTATATATTACGTATACAGAGATTACGTATGATGAGTAGTCATTTCTCATGGATAGAAAATAGAAACTTTATACATTACGTATACAGAGATTACGTATCACGCTGCCTGCGTGGTAGTGCGCAAGCAGGCCATGAACGAATAGCATATGGAATTTTTTTGGAGAATCTATGTGATAGCCCTTGCAAAGAGCTTTCAAATGAGCCTAAACTTGTTTATGAAATGTTTCATGGTAAGAAGTTATGAATGAAAAACGTTCGAAATCGTCCCGAGTAGCCCCAGTTAACGGTAATCATTTCTCTTGGATAGAAAATTGAAACTTTATTACGTTTAAAGAGACCATGAAGAGTTCATTTCTTTCGCGCACGGACAATGGGCACTTATGTTGACGTACACTGAACAGTAATCAAGGAGGTTATCTTGTACGAATACTTGCAATTTAAACGTAATACTTACGCAGGCAAGCCATGAATATAAACCAATTCCTTGATTATTCAATTTGAACGTAATACTTACGCACGCAAGCCATGAATATAAACCAATTCATTGATTATGCAATTTAAACTTATTACTTACGCACGCATGCCATGAAGATTAACCAATTCCGTGCAAGTACAACGGAAACTTTATACTTACAAACGCAAAGCATGCCGGTTATCTATCACGCGCACAGTAAATGGATCCTTTATACCCGTTGAAGATTCAACACAGATTGTGGATACTTGGTAGGAAACTATGCATAAAGGCCATGAAGATGAAACACTGCCGAACTCATTCAATAGTCTTAAAAGTTATGGTCACAGATAACAAATACTTTAAGCCGCTCAGTGTATACGCAGCAACGGCGAAGACAACTTTTAAACGATAACGAGGTCCATCTTGAAATTAATGGAAAAAAGGTAAAAATTATTGCTACGTTCAATTATGATCAACGCTGAATCGTGCTGAAATTAATTAAAAAAGACCAATTTATTACTAATTAAGACCGACTTTTTAACTAAGACCAAGTTATTAATTAAGATCGATTTATTAATCAAGACCAAGTTGTTAATAATTAGGACCAATGACTAATAAAGCTTCACTAATTAATAAAGTCTAACTAATTAATAAAGTCTGACTAATTAATAAAGACTCACTAATTAATAAAGTCTCACTTATTAATAAAGACTCACTAATTAATAAAGACTCACTAATTAATAAATTTTCACTTATTAATAAAGACTCACTAATTAATAAAGACGCACTCACAGTAAGTAGTAGCGGGCTGGAGACCATAAAGGTGGACGCGGTGGATAAACTGCGTGGCTTTGAGAGATCCACCGTCAACAAAGACGGTGGAGACACCAGAGGAGACAGCGTTCAGGTCGAAGAGATCGGTCCCCCACTCTACTAGTGAGTCGCTAGTGTTGCTGATGGTGGACCATGTCACCACCACCGAGGATGTGTTACCTAAAACAGGCGGGAAATCATTACATAGGGAGATTGTTCGCTAAAATAGGGTGGAAATAGTTCAATCAGGATGGTGTTCTCCAAAAACATGGCGAATAAATCGAGGGTATTTTACATTTTAGGAATGAATTTTTTTGCCGTAAAAGGGTATATACCGTATGTATAAAGATAAGTGGCATAATTATTGTAAGGGCTAAACCTCTGCTTCAATGGAATGATTGATTGAAATTTACTAATCAGATGTATAACTTAATTTGCGATCTGGAGCTGAATTTCTACAGCTAAGAAGCATCATCAGAGATTCGTTGACAGGGCAAGTTGGAAGTAATACTTATACTTAATTACGTAATTTTAAACTTGCATCATCAATAAATATCTGAAGTCGTTTCTTCGAACAATCAACCCATTCTATAGTTCAGATTAGTTATTTCGACCACGTTCAGAAAACTCGCTATGTTAGTCACGCTCGTTTGGCTGCGTTTTACTTCAGTGCTAATCAATACATTCTAAGATGATAATGAATGGGACTTCATTTTATGATCTACGATACAATAAAAAGTAAGTGTAAGCACATTCATTGCCATCAGACTAATCTAAGATAAATGATACACTAAAAAATGAATTAGTCAAGTTGTCCAAACAGTGATATTTTCTGCAAGTAGCACAGAGCTACGCCTTTTTTGCCCGGCCTTATCACTGTTAGAAAAATTACCGTTAACGGTATTACCGGCGTTTCAGTGGCCGGTCGGCACGTGAAAAGAAACACCGTGTCACCGTTTTTATTCTAATTTAACACTAGAAATCCGTAAAACATTTGATAAAAACGGCGAAACAGTTTATTTTCACGGGGCGACCGGCCACTAAAATGCCAGTGGGACCGTTTTTTCACCGTTTTTTTCTAACAGTTAACTTGGTCGGGATGATCAACACAAACTCAACAAGTGTATCGTTATTTGGACAAAGTCTCAATGATATATTTGAGTTAAGGCTTCAAAGCTACTCACGTCCGTAAGCAAGATGCACATGTCTAGGCTGCCAGTCCGGGACCGAGTCAAGGCTGTTGAGTCGCTGATTTTCATCAACGCGGTTGCCGTGTTTAGCAAGACATTGAGACGCGAACATAAAAACTGCCGCAACGGACAGGAATTTGAATAGGCGTTCAAAACGCATGATGTTCGAAGTTAGAAAAACTAAATAAACAGTCCAGTCATCAAATCGACGATGTAATTTAAATAACAGCTAAAAATCTTTAAAACTTCATGCCTTCGCGGCCTGTGAAATGAAATAATATTGATAAATCATGAATACAAGAATTTATCATAAGCAATGTTACGTGCTACTCATAATTTGGATTTATCAAAGGGCTAAAAAATAACATAAGAGACATTTTAGAGTAAATTTTCGTCATTCTTATTGACCTCAAATTACAGTTAATGAAACTCCTATCATCGTTTGAGAATATGTTGATTATTTTTTCAAATACTTCTACGCTAGATACTAGTAAATTGTCAAAAGGCGAAGTTGAATTGAAAATAAAGATCACAATAATCAATATTCTGACTAAAAAAATATATTAAAAGCCGACCGAAGGTGTAAATTTATGCTAGCAGCCTTGCATATATTTGTAAAGAAGTACGAGCAGCTTAGCGAGATTCTGTTTATGCGGAGCACAAGCTCTCTATGATGAGAAAAAACTTGCTTACGTTACAAGAAAGCTTAACAAAATAACGTCGTAATTTCACGTGATGATCATTAGGTAATCATATGTACAACCCGTGATCAACAGACAAAAAGCGAAAAAATTAATCGACCTGATAGGAACCCAGACACTGAGAGGGAGGCGGGGAAGCTTATTTAATGCTTTGTCGGTGGCAAGGCCTAGCTAGCTTTTTTGGTTGCTATCGTAGACGATCGAAGTAATAGGCCTAGGCCGGCATTTCCGGAAGATAGCAGCGTCTGCCGTGTTTGGAGATTATAGGATGTACATAAAAAAATTTAGGATAGATATCGAGAAAGGAGACCTGACCTTAAAATTTGGCAACACTAAGCAATTATAAAAGCAAATTCTGCATGCAAGCAAGCAATTATAAGCTATTCTACGGATAGTTGAGCTAATTCTGAAAGACACTTGGTATAGTTGAACATGCTTTTTTAAGAATTGAACAAGGAACGTTTCTTAAGAATTTTCTGTTTTATGGTAGGCCCAATTTGTAATTAATTTTTGGGTAGTGGCTTTCAAGGAATTGGACTGACGTATGATAATTGGGATAAATTATTGGTCTGTTTGAGACATATTTAAACATATGACCGATGACTTTAATTCATGTAGACCATTCAGACAACAAGAATGATCGAAATCCCTAACCATGCGAGGAACAGAGAAAGCAAGAGATGTGCTTTATCTTGAAGGTAGACGCATGATATTGATGTCTCATTCACACGCCACATAAAAAATTAGAAGGAAATATTTAGTTCGACAACAGGTGCTGTATTCCTAGCTACGTAATAACAGAATAAATTAGAACACAGTGCAATCATCAATTAAAAGACAAAATGGCCTTAAATTTAAATAAACACAGTCAACCATAAACTAAATATAGTTTATGGTTATTTACATAAACTATAATAAAGAACCAAAATTCCCTGTGACAAACGAGAGATGGCGGTCGCGACGCGATCGGTTGAATCTAACGACCGCGGTAACGGTTAAGTAAGTAACACTTGAATCTAATAAGTACTTATGGACGATGAAACGTTAATTCCTAAACGTAAAATCTCATGACGTTATCCCTATTCTGTAGCAATCACAAGTATTTATCAGAGTCCTCACTTATTTTGAAAACAGATTCAGAATTGTACACAGGATTAGCCTCTAAACACGTTCTGTTAGGGTTGGTTTTCGAAAATGTAAAAAAATAAATAAATGTAGTAAATAAATAAAATGTAAAATGTAATGAATTCTAACCACACAAAGTTACTGTATTTCAAAATAAATTCGTTTTCTTTAGAAGTAATTTGGTGGTATCATTATTTACACTATACATTATAATCAATTAGATTGATATTTTGATATGCACTAACTCGGTATGCCAAAATTCTGGTGTCTTTGCTGAAAGTTCAATTTTTTCCAGGTGACAATGTATACAAAAACTTTAAAAAAATGCTCATTATTTCAGAATTTCAATTACTTAAATTTTCAAAATAATTTCCTAAATGCCATTAAGAAGATATGTACTAGAGTACCACAGAAAAACCATCAAGGCAAATACCAATGTTTACAGTGTGATATTTCTTATATCATTTTATTTTACCAGATACTTTCAAATGAGAAAACTGGGTGATAGAAAACAAATTCAAGTATTTGAATGTTTGCTATAGAAAAATTATTTTCTTTAGTCTCTGGGCAACAGAATATTTAATTATAAACAGCAATTTGATATGTATGAAGTGGATGATCTCAAAGGAGAGGGGGAATTATTGCTACATTTCACAAGGGATTCTATGATTTGTAGCAGTAGTTTTGTAGTTGTAACTTCTATGTTTTGTAGTTTTGTAAACTCCTATGGGTACATTTTTCAATGTCTGATTAGATTTTATTAATACATGTCAAAACTAGGGATAGGTTGAAAGGTTATTTTTGGAGAGGTCACAATAATAGTTTCAGTGGCATTAAAATTATATTAATCATGGTAAAAAAAGATCATTTTACAGATGATTTTAAAAACTTGCAGGAAAAACTGTACCATTATCATAATTTATCCTTGAGAAACTAGTCAAGGGTCGTTTTCCCATATGGCTAGCAGTCCATTTCACCCATTCCTGGGGTGCTGGATCAATTTCTCTAGTAATGCTAAGAATTGAGGAAAATGGCACATTTTGGCCAGCAGTTTTAGAAAATCACTCTTAAAATAATTTTTCATACTTGTGATTTTCGAATTATTCTGCCCAAAATTCCAGTTTTGCCACCTATTAAGGGAGAATAATAATTAATTTAGACTTTGCAAGAAGTTGTGATTTAGTTTTATCAGGCTAGATTTCTATGATAATGCCGACCGTTTCATGCATAAATTTACTTTCATTTTTGGGCAGATACATGTTCCTTTCCAGCTGTGAGTGGTTGATAGGATTGTGATTTCATCCTCTCCAGAATGTGGTTGGTTGTGGGATCATGATGTCATCCTATCAAGACTGAAGTTGAATATGCAATGGCCTTTCCAATATGCTATGAGTTTTGGTTAATTTAAAACTCTGTGCAGGTGAACCCAAGAGACTTGGTGTCAAACTGTAACTTTGGTAAATTTGTTTTTAGCATGCTTGGTGTGGTCTAAAAATCTGATCCCTGTAGTGTCAACATTTACTCCTGGCATAGGAAGTTGCTCTCTGACATCACATTAAGGTTCCAACTAGAACTGGTTTTATTCATATTATTCAAATACAACATGCTAGACTGGAATTTTTCTACCTTTGAATGAAATCTTAAGGCTCTAACTCATCTGACGTGATAAATTTTTAATATATTTGGAATCTTGCAGCTTCTCTGGAATTAACAATCAGATAGGAGATGATGTATCTAGTAGGAATCTTGCATATCCAAAAATGGCAGAAAAGCTCTAGTTGCAGTTTGACACTTGACAGGAAGATACATTCCATGCCAGATGAAGGTTGGTTTGGGTACAGTAGCTATTGCTGTTTAGTGCCTCTGGCAATTTCGCTGATGCAACTTCCTTGCATTACTCCATAATGACAAAGCAGAGCACTGTACAGGTTCATTCTCATTTATGAGTCCTATTCCTATAAGAAGACCAGTAAAGTATCACTGATATCAGAATTATCGTACACAAGATATTGGCTTAAATATTGAATAGATGAGGAAATTAAAATGAACCAATTCTAAAAACTCTCCTGTTTGCCATTGTGCTTGACTCTTCAATCTGCATATGGATTTTGGATTCTATGTTGTGCTGCAGAGTTAAATTTTAATCCATTTTTTATTTTATGAATTTAGTTTCTGAATAGACACAGATTCAAATACAATCATAGTGACAAAGCAGAAAACTTTTAGTCTCTTGACTCTCTTTCTCAAGTTCAGTTATGAGTCCTGTAAGTGGACCAATAAACTCACATGGATACCAAAATTATCATACATAAAATATTGGTTTCATTCTTGAGTAGTTAAGTAAATGAGGAAATTAATAATACCTATGCATTAAAAAATTACTTTTTAGAGACAACACTTCAAAACAGTTCAGTGGCTCCAATGTTACACAAGTATTATCACTATTATGAATTTCTTATTTCATTTTTATACATTAATGAAAAATTCTTTTTTACAATTTTTTCATTGTTTTCATTTTTTCAATTATTTATTCTGTATAGTGATTCATGCATTGTCTCTGACTTTACCATGACTAAAGTGTGCAAAATTTCAAACTGATTGGACAGGTATGAGTGTGTTTAAATATTGAATACAAAATTTGTAGCAGACAAACAAACAAACAACAAGAACTTCAAGAAGTAAAGTTAATGAGAAGTGTTGGAAAAATGAACTAATTCTAAAAAATATCTGGTTTGATACCATGATATACAATTCATACAAATCCATCTGTATTTCTTCCATTAGGTTTGCACCATGATTTTTCAGAATGAACAGATAATGATGAACTATGACTAGGGTAAACGCAGTATATTCCAACATCATGGGTAATTCCAACACTTCTCAACTTTTTTCCTTTATATTAAGCTTTGTATTAGTTCCACCATTCGTTGATGGTTGAAATAGTGACGTCATACTATTGTGTGCCATACTATTGCCAAAACACTAGGTCCGGGCCATCTGGTGGGAAAATGTTAAGATCCAAAGAGAGACAGTGCACATCACCCAGTGAGAACATCGAAAAACGTGTCGAAGTTGATAGTTGACCTTGCTATACCAAATAGTGATAAACTGTTTGTGTAGAAAGAATATTATGGTTTTAGACTTTTAAATAAGTCTGTGAATATATTAGGAATCCTTCAAGTTCAGGTATACTTGTATTTGCAGATTTTAAGTGGTAAATAAATTAATAGATGAATAAGTTAACTTGTTAAGCGATGGTTTTAGACACATAAAAACTAATTCCGATACAGCTTGGAATTAGACACACACAGCTTGTTCCAAGCTATGTTCAAAAATTAAAATTATCTTAATTAAAAGCTTAATAGCTTAGTTGAAAAATTAAAATTTTTTAATTAAGCTCATTCTGAGCTGTGTCATATTCTGACACAGCTCACATAGGGCGTCGGAATTTCAACAC